TTAATTCACGTCGCGAACCAGCAGCTCCAGTCAAGACACGGCGTGGACAGAGCGCAGACTAGGTCAAGGAGAATCACTGTTCCCCTGAAGTACTTACTCTCGTGATACCTTCGCGAAACGTAGTACGCATTAGTGACGCGGCAATGCCCCAGGCAATTTATTGTTATTGATCGAATATGCCCGCCGGCAGTCGAAGAATCCGCTTTCCCTGTTACGTATCCAAAGACGTCGAAAACGATCCCAACGAAACACCCTGTATCAGACCAATGACACATCCGACACCCGAGGGATGATCGAAAGCCGAACACGTCGATAAAGTGTCGGTAAAAGTGCGAATAATTAAATATTCTTAATTTGAGCGCAGTTTAGCAGTATGTACCCAAAGTAGGACTCAAAAAAGTACCTTCGTCGACTCGACGCTCTTCGTCCAACGTTTCCAATGCTTTGCTTTTCTCAGCATCCCCCTTGTCCTCCAAGCACTTCGGCATGCTAGGATTGCATCCCATCCTCAAAGCGTTCATTCACTTTGCATAGAATTCTTCAATCCTCTTCCATATCCTCGACAACCGTTTGATTCGATTCTAAACATTGATAGAGACGAATATGTCACGATGCTTCTCGATCCATCACGTTTCAGCATATTTTAATATTTTTACAATATCTAGACAAGATTTTGGAATATATTAATCGAATATAATAACAACGAATTACGTATTATATTTACATTGAATTATCTACTGTTATTCTATACCGTTTTCCGTCACTTCCATCGTTATTGTGTACGATAAACATAATTTCCATTAGTGTTTTCTCTTTCTCTGCACGTTCCAAATATTATTACGCTTGGCCAAGCTTTTTTTTCTATCACAATCGATTATTTCAACTACTGTGTATTCTGGTATGCCGTTTATTTTGTGTACTGTTTTCGAGAATGTGTACAAAAATTATCGTCTTTCAATTATATCGATGGATACAACATTTTTTCGTCATCGTAGTCCGATAAAATTCTTATCGCCAGCTTATTGTTTTTAATGTACCGAAAGGCTTTCTTCCATTTATCTCTTAACAAATAAATTTCATTGTAATTTAATATTTATTGTACATAAGAGTTATTTATTCTTCTTGTAATTTTGTAAATAATGTCTAATAGTGTAGCAATTTAATCTATAAATATATATATATTTAATAGTATCCGATCACGTTTGTAGGTGTTTGTTTCACCTGACACAACATTATTCTTAATAAATTTTTCTTAATTTTAACTGTTACCAAAAGCACCGTAACACCGATTCAGAGTTTGATATAAACTTGTGGTTTTTGGTGTGTCTTATCGTTAAATTTACACTCCTATCAAAGGTCAGTGTATGGTATTAATTATTTTCAGGGTTATAATTGTAGCGTTACACGTTTCGATAACGTCAGGAGTTGGACACATGGAATTGTTACGTGTATTCGTAAATAAACATAAATTTCCAACGGGAAATTCTGCACGGCTTGCGTAATTAATTTGAAACAGGATTTCGGTACGTGTATTTCCGAGACTCGAACAAGTTGAACGTCCCTCTTCAATGTCGCCAAACGAGTTTGTGTCCGGCGATACTAAAGAAAACACTGAGCGAAAAGAGATGCGATCAGTGACAACTGTAATATATCGATATAAATATTCGTGCATGTTGTAGGCCTATTGATCATTCGCAACCACCGAGGCATTGGTTGAGTTTAAGAAAATGGGGAACCCTCCGATCGGGCTGATTTCTTTTTATCATAGGTAGCCCTCGACCTGGCAATTACAACGTCGGTCATCTTGGTCCTTAACTCAGAACAGAACAGGTCCAAATAGGTCAAAAACAGAAATGGTTCAAACTGTTTTTCCAACTGTTTCCAACTGTTTTTTTTTTTTGTATTCAATATTGCCGCCCTTATCAAAAACTACCCCAAACCTACCCAGACATTATTTCCGTGTAGACAGTATGTACATTAACAGTAATCGATATTGCCTCTTCACTAAAAAGTACACCAAACCTATTCAGACAGTAGATTTCCTAGCCTGGTGCTATAATGTTCTTCCACATAAAAAAAAAAGTTAGAAATGACGTACTCACCGAGATCGGTGCAAAAAAAAAAAACACTTTTTGAATCATTTTAATTTTCGACCCCTGGAGAGAGGAGGATGGGAGTCGCCATTGTAATCGTCAGGTCGAGGGCTACCTGTGATAAAAAAAATCAACTCGATCGGAGGGTAGCCCAATATCTTAAACCTAACCGAAGCATTTCATGTAAATCGACTCGTGGCACGAGTTTTACCATTACACGATTCGTTTCGAGTTGTCATCAATTTATTAGCACATTTGGTTATCGTATTTACAAAATCGAGTACACGAAATGAGTGAAATCGCTCGCAACATCTTAAGCCGACTAATAAGATTACCAATACACGGTGACTTATCGAGTACCATCAAGCGAAATTTTGAATCTGCTTTGCATTCAAATGAACAAGATGACAACTGCAGCTTCGTTAGAAATCTATTAGTATTGTTTCCCACGTATTCGTTATACTGTGCCTTGCCGTTTGTCATTGCCTGGTATGCTTTACGCTCTGTTCTTAATACCGAGAAGTTCGATTATGTAGGTTAGACATTGACAATGAACCGACCAACTCGAAGGTGAGCTCGACAATTGCAGGGCACGCGTTTAGCTCGCGACACTTCCTCGCTGTCGGCTTTATCTTATCTTTTCCCGCGAGTGTCTACGAATAATTCAAAAATGTCTTACGTCGCGTTCGAAGCACAGCATTCTCCAAAGAAATTCATGGATCCCTCTCGGGTTCACGAGATTACGGCACGGAATTTCTCCGCTCACCTTGAACGACGTATCCGAGATAACGCAAGCACGAGTTCGGTGCATACGCGTATCATGGAAACTTAGATCCCAGTTCGTACAGGTAGAAACGACATCGCACGCTCTCGAGTGATCGAGGCTATCAGTCAACGATAGATCCTTTTGGAGTCGAACCAAGTTGAGAAATCATCGACTCGCGTCGATCGAACACCGATTCCGATCGAGATCGCGTTTCAACATCGAATGGACGATTCCCAATAGAAACATACACAGGTTGCAAGTAATTTCGAGTTTATCGCTCTCAAAGAAATTCACTCGCGAGGGATTGGTAGTATTTGCTGGTAGATATTCTCAGAAATTCAAGTTTTCAATTAAAAGAAAAGTTACAACTGTACGGACGGAGTTTATCCGTCTGTCGATGTTACGAGATCAGTGCACTAGACAGACTAGACAGTTCGATGTCGCGATCGACCGACGATAACAACGACGAGACGACGAGACCGTATTTTCACCGATGAACTGTGAACACCCGCGCGACCGTTGATCCATTGTTAGGCGACACGATGCTTCGAGATGTGCCCGATGTTTTAATAAAGCTAGACCCAGTTGCAGATGGCATCGTGGCCTCGAAACTACTGACTAAACTTTGCGATTCCCCGAGGTCGACGCGCGAGGCGAAGAGGCTACGAATCGAAATGCTTCAGCCCCTCTTCTTTCGAACGCCTAGCCAAATATTTTATTTGCTTTAGGAGTGCGCCGTCGTCGCGTATTGTTCGTTAAGAGCACGATAACGTTGACATTGTTATCAAAAGGTGTCTTGACGCGAACAGACCTGGAGTCGCGAGTATCGAGATCGCAATCCCGCCGTACAATTGATCGGTTAAACAGTCGTTTAACAGCATCACCATCCGTACAACGAAATTAATAGACGCATCTAAAACCAACAGAGTTAAAGCTTTAAAACAACTATATCGACACGAGGATAATCAGGCATAAATAGTTGCAGTTTGCAGAGCAATAGAATAATATTCCACGCGGGTGAAACCGCGTGGCGTAGCTAGTTTATTGATATATTTATAGACGTGGAAAGCTGTAAATCGTGTTATTTATGAATGAACATAATGGAGGCGATAACACGCAACCACGCGTGACAAGTTTACACATCGATCCACGAACAGCGTGTTATGAAACATTCTGGAGAATCTCCTTGAGAGTGTTATTCGATTCGAAAGACTAATAACGTCGTACACTCTTTGAATTACCAACAACGGTTTTACGTTACGATCCGGTTATCTTTGCAGAAGCTGCAATGTCGAAAGCGCCAAGCGTACGTTTCAAACACCTGTGAAAGAAACGAATTACCTTTGTTCGCGAAATACTCACTTGAAACCCGTACCCCCCGAATGTCACATTATTCACATCAGATTTTTCCGTTTCTATTTACAAAAGAGCACTTCGTGACCCCTCTGCCAGGCATTTAATATCCCCTAATAAATCGATCGTTATTAATTTGAAGAGAAACTCAATTATTTGTAAAACAAGTCAAACGAAAAATGGCAAACATCTTTAGGAAACTTTTCAGCGTCTATTTTGAAGTAAAATCTGTACCGATAAATCGAGGAATTTCGAATCGGAGAAACGTATTTCTTCAGGTGAAAAGAAGGTCCAGAAAAGTGAGAAGACATAGTAAGCTCGGTGATAGTCAAAGAGAATGGAAGGTATCTGAAATTTGCGCATGACAAATAGTAAGTGGATTCAACAATTATTACTACCAGTAGTTTACATACCGCAGAAACGGACCGCCCACGCCGTGGTACAAAGCGATTATATGTCTCTAGGGGCGCTTTAGTTTCCTTGACGTATATTATCTTTGCTTGTGAGCTCATCGTACGCTTGTTACCGTTCCGCTCTTAACGCGATACACACGGAACTTTGCATCTTGCATATGGCACTTGAACTATGTGCCACCAATTATGTGCATGCGAGTGCAAGCATTCATCGAAACGGTTCTTGCACGTTGCTTTCCGTGCATAATACAATTACCTCTGTATAATACTTTGACTCGAGGTATCGATCTTACTCGTAATTATCGCCATGTACTTGCCGTGAGTATAAAATGAAATTTATCATTTTCATGGTGTCCCGTTGCAAGTTATTTAGTCTTAAATGGTAGCCGTTGTCCTTCATTTGTAATATTACCATCGCACTGTATTTAATTAAGAAGAAACCATAAGTCCAATACTTGTAATCTCTTGGAGTAACCTGAAGTCATCGAGGAGACTTATAAAAAGCTTCGTAAGGTGACGATAAGTAATTACTTTGAAGCGTGTAGGCTCATTTGCTTTTACTAGAAACAATAAGAAGGAAATATGAATTTTTCTCCAATCGATAAGTAAAAGACGGACAAGGTAAATTGCATCTGTGTACACAAATGTTTGTATAGATGACTAGAAATAATTGCCGTTTGCTCCACGATCTCTGACTGTAAGTTCCATTTATGTATCGATAGAGTATTTAAGCTTTTCGTAACTTGTGTACTTACGTTTATAGGTACATAATGAAATTTTCACATGGCAGAATATTTCACGAACGATTAAGTTTCAAACAATTTTCAAATTTAAAGGTCAGACTGTGATTAAAGTTGCTACCGGAGTTTGATCAATCTGAAAGTATACGTAAAAATTGAAAGCTACTTGAAACAAGTTTTTGTTCGCTAAAGGAGTCGAATAGCTCTTATTTTCGTTGCTTTTTCTCTTGTCGCAAAGATTGTAATCGCACGATGCAGCGGTTTACATTTACTCATTTTTGAAGAATAAACGATTTGAAACACAAAATATCCTTGGTATGAAATATACTTATTATCATCTGGAAGACAGCGTTGTAAAGATAAACGTTAAGCATTACTCTCCGTTGAAAATTTCGGAATGTTCCAGGAACAAGTATCTTTTGAGGGTTTTAATTATCGCGCGCCATCGATGAAAGTCTTTCAATAACGCGCACGAAATATCGAATCAAGGAGATAGTAGTCAAATGTTCAGGCATTTGGAAGTGTCAGTTTTTGGTGAATTCTAATGAAACATGACATATCGAATTTTACGTTTGGAGTATTTAAAGGGCAATCGAATATTTTATTAATCGTCAAAATCGTAAGTGATAAAGCAAAAGATTAATGAAAAAAGTATATTGAATGTAGCAAAAACTATGCAGAGTAGCAAAGAGGTGAAGAGACCGGCACAAAGACGGTTCGGTTGGTTATACAAGGTTTGTTAATAGTCAACTATAAAGAATCCTATTTATGTAATTTATCTCGATATTGTATTAATCCAAAAATCTATGATTTAACTATACTTCTTTAAGTTACATGCATAATGCTTGCACGTATGTACATACTAATCACTTGTAACCGTCACTTACCACTGTCAGTATTAGTGTGAATTCACTTATGTTCTACGGTATCAAAGAATGATATGCATAAAAGAATTGCTAGCTAATATAGCATGGCAATTATTACGTAGTAGGTATTTGGTAGAATAATCTGTGATATTTAAGGACGCTAATGATTTAATCAAGATCCCGCTGTATAATATTAACAACACTTTTTAACAAGGTTCTGTGTCAACAAAGGTCTGTAAAACCGTTATCTGCCGTGCAAACGTACTTGAAAAAGAGCTGTTTGCGATTCTGCGTGGACCGCGTTGGTCTGAAACATTGGTCACCCATATTAAATAGTATCGCGGAGAACTGCAGTTTGTCGAAAATTCATCTATACAGCCGAAGTCGGCGCAGAAGGATACGAGAAAAAATAAATACGCAAGAGAAGCTTGAGAAATTGTGGTAATTACCGTATTTCGAAGATACCAAAATGTATCCGAATTCCGAATGCCACAGGAATCGACAGGTATAATGTTAGAAAGAAAAGTTGCTTCCTCAAGCTTAAACTACGCGTGAAATTTACATACTTACCTCACTAAATATTTTTAATTATTCTTGACCCTGGGTATTCCTGACACCGTTGGTTTTCGATATTCGCCACAAATAAAACTCTCGTCACACGAATCAACCAAACAAAAAAAAAAATTAAATTATACAAATTTTAGTAGCATCTCTACTTATCCGTAACGAGGCACCTGATTTTTGTTTACCTTTCTCTACGATTTTAAAAGACTTTAAATTTCTCCAACTCGGTAGAGTACGTCTGGAATGAAATCTAGAATTTTTTTATCCTCCAATTTTTCTATAAACTGAACGTTTCGCTTTTCGGATACTACTCCTCAAAGTTTAAGCGTGCAGGTCGCATCGCTTGGATCGACGAGCTGGACAGAAAGATGAGAGAGATTGGGAGTTAGGCGAATAAAGGGAAAAGGGAGTCGATACGACGGACGTGGTTCGGAAACTGGCCTTTTTTATCGAACGTCCAGGCGATGCAGGAAGGACACAACATGGCCGATCCTGTACACCAACTTTCTGTTGCGCTGCCTTCTGGATGCTGTGGCCGTTTATGCGAGAGACTCCACGAGGCTCACCTCGATTACTATCGATGGGATTCCGCTGATGCCGAGGTATCTGGACATCCTCTGTTATGGCCTGAGGACCAACGAGAAGCTGATAGATCTATCGCTCAAGGGATGCCGCATCGGTGACATCGGTTGGTACCCTTTTTTGTCATGCAATTTATGCACGTATAACCTTCCTAGAAGTCCAAGTACTCTCAGTATTCATAGTTAATATGAATTTAATGGCATTTTCGTTTGAAATTGATTGCTCAGGCTGCGATTTGCTGCTGAACTGCTTGAGGAACAATCCCAGCCTTCGAATGCTGAACCTGTCGGCTTGTCGTTTGACTAACAGAAGTGCCACGAGTTTGTCCCTGTTCCTGAAAAGGAGAAGGGCGGATTTGTTACAGAACGTTTGGGTAGAGTCGCCTTTGCAGTCTCGCGAGGAGTATTCCTTGAAGCAGGTGAGAATGACTTTCGATTTCGATGTGTATAGCAACGGTGAAGCGAAAGTAATGTCTCCCTATCCGCAACTTCTTGCCTCATCATTCATCGAGCGTAACCCAAATTCCAATTGGAATTTGAAAAGATGAACAGGCAAGTCTAAGTGTTCTGTTTCACTTTTTGTTACAGCTGCAGGGACTGCATACCTTGATTTTGAATCGAAACCCAAAATTTGGGGACAATGGCGTTCGACAGTTGATGGCTGCGTTAACCATCGATTATTGGCTGAAATCTTTGAGTCTTCAACGATGTGGTATCACTGAACACGGAGTGGAAATCATCATCAAGCTTTTACAATCCAACAGTACGCTTTCGAAGATGGATCTCACAAAGAATCGTATACACATCGATACTCTTCAAGTTGTTTTGAAGCTGTTGAAGAGGAAACGAGAAACAACTGAAACTAAGTCTTTGAAGAAACGACTTCAAAAGAGACGCAACAAAAGGTCGTTAGAAAATTGTCGACAGAGGAGATTCTTGAGGTTTCAAGAGAGACCCGGTCAATCAAAGGTGATCGAGAATATAAAGAAAAAATATGACTTTGAGAGGAAGGATCCGTGTGATCTGGAGTTGCAGCTGTTAGACGTAATTAATTCCAACGTTGAATTGAGAGAAATATTGTCGAGCAATAATACATTGCTGAACACAGAGGTCCAGGAAAGGTCCAGAACCGAGGACGAATTGCAGAAAGTATCTCTCGAGTTGAACAACCTTAAGAGCAAAGTTCTCTTTGTTAATTCACTTCGTACGAAGCTTTCCAATAAAAATCAGTTGCTGCAGAAAGGACTTCGATACGTTTTTGGAAAGATGGAATCATTTTCAACTGCAAAACAACCCGAGATTGATAGATCCAAATACGAAGTTGATTTCACTGCCACGGAAATACTACCATTGCCGTTAGTTCAACGGAAAAACAATGTTGTAACGAGATATATGCAAAGAAGACCGTACTGTCCTCTCATAAGGGAATGCAAAGTTGTGGATATCACTGAATGCTAATTTGATATATTTTATTATCCGATGCAATTTATATTTAGCCGTCGGTTACTAGTACCTGTGCGAGTCTACAACAGTTTTTACAAATATATTATAATACGATTAGAAAAATAAATATTTTTTTACAAACAAAAAAGTTGAAATACTTGTGTTCTACGTCTCATCTTTCCTTCCCAAAAAAGTTTCTGTTTCCATAACTGATAGCTGATTTTAATACGAGTAATGTTACTATGAATTTTTTTGAAATCAGTCTTATTCATTATCCTTCCTCGTTTCTGAATATCGCGGATTCTTATGGGGCTATAAAATTTATTTATTTCGAATCGATAGCATTAGGTGTAATACGAGAGTAAAAAGGGAGATGTGACTCAGGTGTTTCTAAGTGGTATGCACAGGGCAAAACTATGTTATTATCAATTTCTAGGAACTCGATTGCAATCAGACTTCGCATACTGGATCCGGAATCTTTTATCTATTAGATGCCGCGTCTATTATATCTGTTTATTGCTTGGAATAATAGTTAATTAATAATTTATTTTTTTTCAAGTCCAAAGCCATCTAGTGGCGAGTACCCCGAACTAACTTCGGAGTTTGGTCAGCGCCTCTATCGGGAAAACGCTCAAGTTTGTCGCCGAATAGTTCCTA